AACTTCTAGGTCAAGGTCACAGAGTAAAAAATGTCATGATATATTTAGAAAAGTCTTTTCACATGTAATATACATGTATAATTTGAATGCCCTATCTTTTCTCTTTCAAAATGATCAATTTAAAATGTTTTTTTTTGGAAAGTTAAGGTAAAACTTTAAGGTCAAGGTCTCACTTTGGTTAAAAAATCATAGTATATTTAGAAAGCTTTGTGATAATGTACATGTGAAATATGAAAGCCCTAATAATCTCTTATTATTCAAAAGTTATGATCAAGCGTTATGTCCAGGTATTCCGGAACTATATTATGTGTATGTAACTTTGGTTCTCGCTGTTATATGTTCATTCAATTAAAAAGTAGTTCTTGCCATAAACACGTGTTGTTACACTTTATTACTATACTAGTGTGTTCCAATACACAACATTGGCGACGAGAAATGTTTTCAAGCCTTATAATACACATAAATGTATGAGTTACTCGGATAAACTGTGTCGGTGAGTGTGACATTCTGATTCACAACTATGATATAATCTACAGAATACAAAGAAACATGGAAATGCTGACAGTTTGTCCCGCTTACCTGTCACATGTGAGGGTAGCAGATTAGTGGACAAAGAACAGGAAGTGGAAGTGGAGATGTTGCATGTCAGTCAACTGGAACATCTACCTATCAAACCTGAAGCAATTCAACGTGAATCAAGGCGTGATTACCTCTTGTCCAAAGTTTACGATAATGTGTCCAGAGGCTGGTGTGCAAATTCAGAGTCAAAGGAGATGGATCCATACTTTACGCGCCGTAGTGAACTTACTATTCATCAGAACTGTCTGTTGTGGGGAATACGTGTTGTGATTCTGCCGTCACTGCGAAGTCAAGTTTTGGATGAGCTACATCAAGGTCAAATTGGTGTTGTTAAAATGAAAACCTTAGCAAGAAGTCATGCTCGGTGGACAGGGATAGATCGAGATATAGAACTTTTGACAAAGAGCTGTGCTGGATGTCAGGCAGTAAAGCATGCACCACCTGCCGCATGCACCTATTCACCCCTGGGAATGGCCGTCTAGATCATGGGAAAGGATCCATATCGATTTTGCGGGTCCGTTTCTCAATTCAATGTTCTAAGTCATTGTTGACGCTTAACTCTAAGTGGCCTGAGGTGATACCTATGAAAACTACCACATCTTCCCAAACCATAGATGTATTACGTACCGTTTTTGCATGTAATGGCTTACCATCACAAATTGTAAGTGACAATGGACCTCAATTCACTTCAGAAGAGTTTGTGAATTTTACCAGAGGAAACGATATAAAACACATAACCTCAGAACCCTATTACCCCAGTACTAACGGTTTAGGAGAAAGATTTGTGCAGTCATTCAAGATGAGTCTCAAGTCGAGTAAAAAGGAAAGTGGTAACATGGTGAAGAAACTCAGCAATTTTTTTATGGCTTACCGTAACGCTTCACAGTGCACAACAAATGAAAGTCCAGCAAAACTATTCATGGGCAGAAACTTACCATCTCATTTAGATCTCATGAAACCAGATGTCAGGAGGAAAGTAGAGGAGAAACAGTGTGAAGTGAGCGAAACAAGAAAAAGTGTGTTACGTAAATTCGAACCAGGAGATTCTGTTGCTGTTCCTGACTATCGAAAGGATCATTCTCAGTGGACTTCCGGAACTGTGACAGCTCAGATTGGACCTATATCATATTCTGTAGAAGTAACACCTGGAGTCACATGGAGACGACACGCTGATCAGTTGCGTTCTTCGAGTGTGCCAATTCAGGAGGACTTACATATTCAACCTAGTAACACAGCTGTGACTGAGTCAACAACCAGTGAAGTCAAACATTGCGAAACAGAACTCAACTGTGTCCAATGCAGAACCCTGTCCTTCGCATCCATCCAATGATGACTGTGCCATGCCATCTACTCAAGCAGTTCCTGAACCAAGATATCCGAGTCGTGTCAGGAAACCGCCCAAACATCTTGCTGATTATGTTTAAGGTGAAATGTGATATACTAGTGCAGACTGAGGCATAATAATCCTCATGGTATCACAGGGAAACAAAAGTTACTCATTTGTACATATGTTGCTATGAATGCTTTGTTCTTAAATGTATAGTACGGTAGTTTACATTTGTATGTTGTAATATGTTTCCATGAATTACATTATGTACCAGCAAGGCACAAGAATTAATGTAAAGGGGTAAATTTTACTTCAAAACTTAAGAGGGAGGAATGTTATGTCCATGTATTATGTGTACGTTATTGGTTCTCACTGTTATATATGTTCATTCAATTAAAAAGTAGTTCTTGCCATACACACTTGTTGTTACTCTTTATTACTATACTAGTGTGTTCCAATACACAACACCAAGGTTAAATTTATTGTGACAGATGCACATACTGTCAATAAGATTATAGGGCAGACTGACAGACAAATGAGATTTAATGTCCCCTCCCTTTTCCAAAAATGGGGGACAATAATGCCCTTGCTGTTCTTGAGAAGAAGATTTATGATGGAAAAAATTCCCTGCATATATTTCTTAACACAAAACAATATTGTGTTTTTATGTCATTTGTTTGTTTGTTGTTAAACATCCCTCTCAGGAATTTTTCACTCATATATGGAGACACCACCACTTAAAAATAATGAGGATAAGTCAGATTTGAGGTCAACATTCATTTAAGGAGTTTTCAACTAAAAAATTAAGACGCAAAGAGATATTAACTCAATCCTTCTCCTCACCCCTTCACAGACCCCTGTTTGTTCATGTATGTGTAATGGTTCTGGCCGTGGATATCGGCCTGGATAGCTCAGTTGGTAGAGCACCTGACTAGAGATGCAGGGTCCCGGGTTCGATTCCCGGTCCAGCCATACATTTTCTCCTTTCCTGTTACAGATTTGGTGCCGTGCCATGCCCTGGAATTGACAGGTGAAAGACCTGCCAGGGATGAGCCTGGGTTGGGGTCTTTGGAGGGCCAAAGACCTTTAAGGAGGGAGGAATGTAATGGTTCTGGCCGTGGATATCGGCCTGGATAGCTCAGTTGGTAGAGCACCTGACTAGAGATGCAGGGTCCCGGGTTCGATTCCCGGTCCAGCCATACATTTTCTCCTTTCCTGTTACAGATTTGGTGCCGTGCCATGCCCTGGAATTGACAGGTGAAAGACCTGCCAGGGATGAGCCTGGGTTGGGGTCTTTGGAGGGCCAAAGACCTTTAAGGAGGGAGGAATGTAATGGTTAGGGCCGTGGATATCGGCCTGGATAGCTCAGTAGGTAGAGCACCTGACTAGAGATACAGGGGTACCGGGTTCGATTCCCGGTCCAGCCATGCATTTTCTCCTTTCCTGTTACATATGCAAACTACTAGTTTTTATACATTTAATGTCAGATGACACCTTCCTAAAATAAATATTTTGTATCTCTTTATATTATATAAAAAAAAATTCAGATTTGTTATTCTCTTCTGAAATCTAAATTGTTTTCAAAATGTTTCTTAATGTAAGTACACCAAAAATTGTGATATAGGTCAATCAGAAGATTACCAATAGGAGTCATATAAGAAATATGACCCTTTGGTATCTTGTCCAAATGTCTGGTAAGGTACCCTAATTTTTTGTGAGGAAATTTGTTTATAAGTACCTAGACTTCAATGACAAATTCTTAGAAAAAATTATATATTTTTGAGGAACATGTCGTCTGCATGATCTTAAAAAAATGTTAATATATACAAATACATGTAGGTTGACACAAATTCATGAATAAAATGTCAAGCAATCTTATCATTGATGCACTTTTATTTAATTTAATGCAGTCATATTGTGATTTACATTTCTATTTCATTAGGACGGGGAGAGTTGGGATGACCTCCAGGGGTTCATATAAACCTTTATACTATTAAATTTACACAACATAATTACAAAAGAAACAAAATTATGTATGGTCAAATGGAAAATTTTCCTACTATTTAGGAGTCACGTGATCATTTGTCATTACAGGGACAGGGAATGGATTGGGAGATCGCCCCCTCTCCCCCCCAGAATTTGCAGGACTATTATATATACTGAAGCAAATAAAAATGACTTTGGATGCTCTAAACCCTAGAAAACAGACCCCACCATAACTTCTTTTTTTTTGCTTCCCGTGAAATTCTGGTCTGGAAATCCCTCCTCCCTCCCAGGAAAAAAATTCTGGATCTTGTGTCAGAATGTAACGTCGATAACGGGGGATAACTCTTCAGAATGTGAAATTCATGAATGAATGTAGCATCGGATGACCTTTAATCCTTTAACCTTTAACCTAACCATTCGCATTTCACACTCTATACCAAAACTTGTACTTACCGACTGTCATAGTCCTTCAACTTCATGAAATATAATCCAATCAAAACACAAAATGAAATAATTCCTACTGACATACATACATGCAATAATGTTTACACCACACTGCACGTGCAGGCAATCTGAAAATGATAATGGTAAAACTAGTACTTAAGTTCGGTACGTGACGCAAGCCAATTGTGATGCAGGTGTTCAGATACATGTATAGTACAAGAACAAATTTAAGATTATCATTTACAAAAGATGTTTTATCTTAACTTTGCCATTTAGGCCTATTTCCAAAAACAGGCAAATAGGGTGTGTTTGTGTGTGTGGATGGGAGGGGGGGGGTGTGACTAAATTGATTGGGTTTATGGCAGCTTTCAAGGAGTTTCTGCCTTAAAAAATATATAAGAAAAAGTTTGCACATTTTGAAAAATTCATCAAAAACGCTTTACACTAATTTGAATAATATTATTTGTTGTTGACCTATATGAGAAAATTTCCAATTATGGGCCAAAAATTTATATCCCCCCCTTTATCAAACCTAATTTACATCATTAATTAAATTCTGTTGTTTAATTTCAGACTGGTAATGAATTAAGAATATTAAATACCTAAATAAGATCAAGGCCCATGGGTCACATGGTCACCTGAGCATATTATGCTAAATTTGATGAATACATGTATTATGTAAATTATTGAATTATATTGACTTTTTCCTTGGTAAAGCCCAATTAGAAGGAATGTGCATTTAGAGGCAAACACCTTAGTGCGAGTACTACTGTCTCATGACAGCATCTAGTCCTAAAATTATGAAAGACAGGTCACTGTACATTATTTCGAGTCATAGTCTTGAAAAATCTTCTTGGTTTTTCTTTAAAATGTTCTATTTAATGGCCGTGATAGCTTGGAGAATGCTCTTATAGCCTAGATTTCGATCTTTAGAAAGTTTATTTATCACATTGTACAAATATTATATCGTATACGATCAAGTTCCGCTAAAGCAGTGAATTTGATAAGATTTTCAACTGGACACCCCCAAAGTGGACTCTTCCGATTAGTTACACATTCATGAAAAGACTGGAATGTTCTCAAAAAAAAAAAAAATCTCTCGCCCTCCGACGATCAAGGAATCTGATATCATTAATGTTCAATAACTTGCAATTATTACAAAAATATTCATATCACCTTTATTAAACAATCTTTGATTTTTCTTAATATTTGTCTTTTCCATTCATTTAATAAGTCACAAGCCTGCATGGAAAATAAACAATAGTCAAGTTATACATACTAAACAAAGTGATTGTTTTAGTTAGGTAATTAAGTTTCTTGAAAAGCTATTTCTTATAACCATGGTTAAGGATAAGTTTTCTGTGGTGCAAAACAAAACGTATGGATCGTATTTCCACTTGTAATCTTTATTATTCTACTTTCAGAAACGGATAAAAGCATTTTAATATACGTTTGAGGAAACCTCGGATTAAATTTATAATTCTAAATACAGAATTCCAACGTAATTGCGATGTGGCAATCCAACGAATTCTTTACATTTCATAAATCTTTTTAGTAAAAGTTTCGTTCAACCAAACGCTCAGCTGACCTTCTAGAACCCGACTTGCTTAATGGCAGAGTTTACGGATACAGCCACCATTTTGGACGCGCTTCAGATTTTTCAATGCGAATATCTAGTGTATGGATTGATCAATTCTCAAATAAATTACATATTAAGCCTTTTGAGAAGGGTCTCCAATAACGTTAATCATATCAAAGAAAAATAATTCAAAACAGAAAAGTTGAAAAACTGCACTTTTTAAATTCGCTTCCTGTAGCGACCGGAAGTACCGACGACGCAAACGAAGGCAAAATTGCACATCTATAACTCATGGTCTATCGTCTCTAACAAGTCTCCAGTGAATATTTCGAGCCGTTCTCGAGAACACTCGAAGACAAAAATGCATTTAAAAATCAGGAAATTGTCCATAACTTGGCACTGGAACCGAATTTTCCAAAAAACGGAATTTTATATAAAATTCATATAATGACCTATAATTCCTGAAAATTTCATTGAAATCCACCGAATAGTTTACGAGAAATCGCCTGCACAAAATTTTGTCTAAAAAAAAAGAATAATAATAATAATAACTAGATGAAACTCGTTGCGAGCAACGAGAGGTCTTCCGTCCGATTCCGGAAAGAAAACGTAAAATCGATTTGAAAAGTAAAAAAAAAAGATTTGCACACAAGGGGGATTGAACCAAAGTCGCCACATGAAATTCCAACGCACTAAATATTACGCTATCGGGACCTCTACTCTAAATCTACTTGTATATATCAATGATACAGTGCTTCTCTCTTAAAATTATGAAAGGCGGGTCACTATTCAAATTGTAGCGCCAAACGCCATGAGTTAATCTTCGCCCCTTTTCTTTGGAATGTTCTATTAAATAGGAGTGATAGCTTTAATGAAATTAAAAGAAAAGAACGTTCTTATAGCCTAAGATTCGAAGTTTAGAAAGTATGTTTAACACATTTTACAAATTCCATATTGTACATATGCATGTAACACTAAAGCGGTGAAACGGTTA